GTGAATTAATCTAGTTCCAGCATTCATTTTATCTAAAAGCCAAAATGTGTTCACTGAAAAATTCATCACTTTTTTCCCTTTGCAAACCTAAAAATAGCACTGCCTGGGAATACGGTTTTCTGTAGAATTTACAGTTTGGTAAGACAGTTCATGGTTGACGTAATATCATTCATCTGCTTTTCATTCTTTTTTTAAAAATATTCTATCGTGTTTTTGGTGAATGTTTACACGACAAATTAGATTCCCATTTGACAATTTCTGCACAAATTGTTCAGTGACAATAGTCACATTTTCACAATGTGTCAACATTCTCTTTAATTGTGTTTCGGTCGTTCCATTTCCAATAATATAGTTTCCCTGCCCCCTTATTGACTCATCTTTGCTTTAGAGTAATTGTTGACTTTTCGGTCTCATACAGATGGTTTTCTAACAGAGCACTGTTCTCACAGATAATATCCTTTATTTCACATGCCAATCTGTTACTTCGCTAAAAGCTGACCTCAGGGGATAGTTTCGATTCAAGGTCTAAAGAGTATCTCAGGGCGATAGTCTCAGGGAGTCCTCTCGTCTCAACTGGTCCAGTAAGTCTGGACTTTTTAAGAATTTGAATTCTGCTCTGCATTTTTCTCCTGTTCCATCAGGGTCCATCTATTGTGGGTTGATGAAAATCGTCAGTAGTGGTACCTGGCACCATCTAGTTCTGGTCTCAGGGTAGATGAGGTCATGGCTCATGTAGACTATTAGCCCTATAGACTAGTTTCTTCTCTGAAACGTTGGTTTCCTTCTTTCTCTTTGCTCCTGATGATACTGCATGCCTTCTACATTTATTTGCCAACCCCACCCTCCCACACTATGCTAATGTTTTTACAGCAACATGTAAAAAAAATGGCACAGCGGTGCTTATGAAAATACCTCACAGGGAAGGCTCAGTTGGCAAACAAACGTAGAAGGTGGGCGCTATTTGTGTAAAAATATGATAGTTGTATCTTAGACATTTGCTTTTAATTCTACAGCCTGGGAACATACCTTAAATTTGGCCAGATGCCTACATGTTTCTAATAAACTTCTAAAGATAGGAACTTTAAGCTATATATTTAAAAAGAAGGGGAATACTGTATGTGAATTACATCTCAATGATTTTTTTTTTTTTTAATGTAGGGAGAGTGAAGGTTAGTAGTAGCTGAACAAAAGAAAAGCAATGAACTTGTCACACCTACAGATGCATCTATGAAAAGGTTTAAAATTTGTTAAAACCTTCCTCCACCTGCATG